GCGTGGTTAGCACGTGGGAGGGCGTGGTCACCACCAGGGAGGGCGTGGTTAGCACGTGGGAGGGCGTGGCTGCTCCTTGAGAGGTGTGGTTGGTACCTGGGGGTGTGGCTTGTGTCTAGGGGCGTGGCTGCCACTGGAGTGGGCGTGGCCAGCCCCTGCGGCTCAGCCCCGCCCCTTTCCCGCAGGGGGGCAGAAGGCGCGGGTCGTGTTCGCGGAGCTCTCCTGCCGCGAGCCCGACGTGCTCATCCTGGTGAGGGGCGGGGCCTGAAGGGGCGGGGCTTGGGAGGGGCGGGGCCTGCGAGGGGAGGGGCGGGGCCAGGTGTGACCTCACCTGAGTGACCTCTTGACTCCTCCCACCCCCCTGTTCTTACCCCAATCACAGCCCTGGGTGTGGCCTGGGTGTGGTCAGGAGGGCGTGGCTCATCTGGGAGAGGCGTGGCCATGCTGGGAGGGGCGTGGCCAGGTGTGAGCTCACCTGAGTGACCCCTTGACCCCTCCCATCCCCCTGTTCTTACCCCAATCACAGCCCTGGGTGTGGCCTGGGTGTGGTCAGGAGGGCGTGGCTCATCTGTGAAGGGCGTGGCCATGCTGGGAGGGGCGTGGCCAGGTGTGAGCTCACCTGAGTGACCCCTTGACCCCTCCTGAGCTCCTGTTCTCATCCCAATCACAGCCCTGGGTGTGGCCTGGGTGTGGTCAGGAGGGCGTGGCTCATCTGTGAAGGGCGTGGCCATGCTGGGAGGGGCGTGGCCAGGTGTGAGCTCACCTGAGCGCCCCTCGGCCCCCAGGACGAGCCCACCAACAACCTGGACATCGAATCCATCGACGCCTTGGCTGACGCCATCAACGAGTACAAAGGAGGTGGGGCCTGGGCGGGGCCGGGGGTGGGCGGGGCCACGGTGATGATGTCATAGCTAGAAATGGGGAGAGGGACCCCAAGAGGGGGAAAATCTGCCTTAGCAGGAGGAGAAAATTCCCAAAGATTGGGACGGGGGATGCCCAAAAATGCCCCAAAAATGGAGCAAAAATGCCCCAAAAATGGAGCAAAAATGCCCCAAAAGTGTCCCCAAAACAGACCGCAAAGTGATGACATCACAATGATGTCACTGTGACATCACAGCGGTGATCGTGGTGAGCCACGACGCGCGGCTGATCACCGAGTCCAACTGCCCCAAAAATGCCCCAAAAAAACACCCCAGAAACACCCCGAAACCACCCCAAAACTGCCCCAAAACCGGCCCCCGAAGCGATGACGTCACTCTGACGTCACTGTGACGTCACAGCGGTGATCGTGGTGAGCCACGACACGCGGCTGATCACCGAGACCAACTGCCCCAAAAACACCCCAAAACTGCCCCAAAAACACCCCAAAACCGCCCCAAAAACACCCCAAAACCACCCCAAAACCGGCCCCCGAAGCGATGACGTCACGCTGACGTCGCTGTGACCTCACAGCGGTGATCGTGGTGAGCCACTTCGCGTGGCTGATCACCGAGTCCAACTGCCCCAAAAATGTCCCAAAACCGCCCCAAAAACACCCCGAAACCACCCCAAAACTGCCCCAAAACCGGCCCCCGAAGCGATGACGTCACTCTGACGTCACTGTGACGTCACAGCGGTGATCGTGGTGAGCCACGACACGCGGCTGATCACCGAGACCAACTGCCCCAAAAACACCCCAAAACTGCCCCAAAAACACCCCAAAACCGCCCCAAAAACACCCCAAAACCACCCCAAAACCGGCCCCCGAAGCGATGACGTCACGCTGACGTCGCTGTGACCTCACAGCGGTGATCGTGGTGAGCCACGACGCGCGGCTGATCACCGAGACCAACTGCCAGCTGTGGGTGGTGGAGGAGCAGGGCCTGAGCCAGATCGACGGCGACTTCGACGATTACAAACGCGAGGTGCTGGAGGCCCTGGGCGAGGTGGTGGTGCACCGGCCCCGCGAGTGACCGCAGTGACCGCAGTGACCAGAGTGACCGGCACAGTGACCAGAGTGACCACTGGAGTGACCGCAGTGACCAGAGTGACCAGCACAATGACCAGAGTGACCACAGTGACCACTGGAGTGACCGCAGTGACCGTCAGAGTGGCTGCAGTTACCCGCAGTGACCAGCAGGGGGCAAAGGGAGAAATAAACGGTGGTGGAGCAATGGCGGAGTGGGCGTGGTCTATGGGCTCATTTGGGTGTGGTCAGTGTGGGTGTGGTCGGTGGTCAATTGATGAGGTCAGTGTGGTCAGCACCAGAGTGATCAGCAGAGTGACCACTGGAGTGACCACAGTGACCACTGGAGTGGCTGCAATTACCCGCAGTGACCAGCAGGGGGCAGGGAGGAATATATGGTGGTGGTGCAATGGCGGAGTGGGCGTGGTCTCTATGGGCATGGTCAGTGGGTGTGGTCATTGTGGGTGTGGTCAGTGTGGTCAGCACCAGAGTGACCCCTGGAGTGACCGCAGTGACTGTCAGTGGCTGCAGTTACCCAGAGTGACCAGCAGGGGGCAAATGGAGAAATAAACGGTGGTGGAGCAATGGCGGAGTGGGCGTGGTCTATGGGCTCATTTGGGTGTGGTCATTGTGGGCGTGGTCAGTGGATGAGGTCAGTGTTGGAGTGACCGCAGTGACTGTCAGAGTGGCTGCAGTTACCCGCAGTGACCAGCAGACGGCGCAGGGAGGATAAACAGAGGTGGAGCAATGGCGGAGTGGGCGTGGTCAGTGTGGGCGTGGTCAGTGTGCTCAATGGATGATGTCAGTGTGGTCGGCACCACAGTGACCAGCAGAGTGACCGCAGTGACCACCAGAGTGGCTGCAGTTACCCGCAGTGACCAGCAGAGGGCGCAGAGAGGAATAAACGGTGGTGGCACAATGGCGGAGTGGGCGTGGTGTATGGGCTCATTTGGGTGTGGTCAGTGTGGGCGTGGTCAGTGTGGTCAGTGGATGAGGTCAGTGTGGTTGCCAGCAGTGACCAGCAGAGTGACCACTGGAGTGACCACAGTGACCAGCAGAGTGGCTGCAGTTACCCGCAGTGACCACCAGCAGGGGGGGCAGAGAGGAATAAACAGGTGGAGCAATGGCAGAGTGGGCGTGGTCTATGGGCTCATTTGGGTGTGGTCAGTGTGGGTGTGGTCGGTGGTCAATGGATGAGGTCAGTGTGGTTGCCAGCAGTGACCACCAGAGTGACCACTGGAGTGACCACAGTGACCAGCAGAGTGGCTGCAGTTACCCGCAGTGACCAGCAGGGGGCAAAGGGAGAAATAAACGGTGGTGGAGCAATGGCGGAGTGGGCGTGGTCTCTGGGCTCATTTGGGTGTGGTCAGTGTGGGCGTGGTCGGTGGTCAATGGATGAGGTCAGTGTGGTTGGCATCAGAGTGACCAGCAGAGTGACCACTGGAGTGACCGCAGTGACCGTCAGTGGCTGCAGTTACCCGCAGTGACCAGCAGGGGGCAAAGGGAGAAATAAACGGTGGTGGAGCAATAGCGGAGTGGGCGTGGTCAGTGTGGGTGTGGTCAGTGTGGGCGTGGCCATTTGGGTGACATCCCTGCCCCCTCCCCAGCC